TTTTAAATAAAACTATTTTTTCGGATTTTTTCGCGGATTTATTTGGATTTTTGGTTCCCGACTTTTCGAATGCGTTACAGCAATCATGGTCACGGGACAGACTGAGGTGTTACATGTCTCGAAGGTATAGTTGTTACAGACAGCCTACCCACAAATAACAAAATGAAAAAATTGCACCAAATACCTTACAATGTTTTATAACTTTGAATTTTTTTATAATTTTAATTAGTTTTATAATTGAATATATTTATTATGTTATTATTATAATTATTATTTATTACAATTTTAAAGACACTTACACAGTAAGAACTTACTACATGTGTGTGGATGAAAATGACAGCATTTCAGATTAATATTTTTCATTTTTCATTTGTAAAAGTATATAGTAATAGTGTTGCTTAGTAATTTGTCTTTTTAAATAATAGCAAACTAAATTAAATTTATCATTCTTAATTAATTTTAACTTTTTAAATTACACATAGAACAATTATATGGCTTAAATAAATAATACTATATTTTATATTTTTCTTTATGCTTATAAATATAATAATGGCAACACTAAATATAGATTACTAATTAATATTTTTAAAATTGTTATAATTATAATAATAACAGCAAAAATTAAATAAATAATATTCCATATTCAATTATCAAACTAATTAAAATTATAAAAAACTAAAACAGATTAACATTAAAAATTCGCACACAATCGAGTAGAAAATTTGCAAGCACTTTAAGCAATATTATAATAAATATTTCACAATTTCCAACTAAGCTTTCTCAGATACAATAAGATCGAGTTGTCAATTAGATTTGCCAAAGTGGCGGTGATATTAATACTGTGCGACGCCTGTCTTAGACAGGCACGAGGCTACGTTGTAGGATCGCTTGATAAGTATTTTAACAATTGTACAAAATCACAATTATATTTTAATATATAAATGCGAAAGTTTGTGAAGTGTTTTCGTTACATATGTATAAGCTACCTATATGGTAGCCTGTATGTCTATTTTAGGCTATTTTTATCGGCTTTACTTATGATGCAAAACGTTAAAAAACTATTAATAATTATTATTAATATGCATTTTTCGATTAAATAAAACTAAACTCTTGATGTTTTCAATAATATGGATAATTACTATTATTTAAAAATGATTGGACCAATTTAGTATGTCCAAATGCAACTTTGGTATTTGTATTTCAGAAATACACCAATTGCCAAAAACTCTATGATTATTAAAAAAAAAGCCTCGGACAGAGGAAAACTGTTCAAAGTCTTTTTCTCCTAGCAATGAGAGATTCACGTCCAGCCATTATAATATTGTTCTAGCGACTCACCCTCGCTCAGCTCGGGTTCGTCCTTAGGTTGCTTCCCGATATAAACTTTCATCCCCGTTTTCACCCCCTTAAGGGATGATTTCCGGAATAAAAACTATTCTATATCCTTCCCAGGATCTCAAACTATCTTCTTAGCAAATTTCATCTAAATCGGTTAAGTAGTTTCAGAGCTTATTAGGTACAAACAAACAAACAAACAAAAAAATAAATCTTTCCTCTTTATAATATTAGTATAGATTACTATAATAATAAGGATAGGCTCAAGACAATATGTCTATGTGAAGGATTGATTTTAATATCATAGGGATAGGCTAAATGAAAGCTGGTGTCTTAATGAAAAGACTAAATCAACATAGTATTTAAACATGAGTTTGAAACTTTATTCATCTACATACAACGTGCGAGTACAAGTCATAAGAAATTATGCAGCTCGAGGGGAAACACTCAAAGATAACGCCTTGAGCTTGTAGTTTAATCGAAATAATTTTTGCATCGTATTATTTATACTTGTTTATAGTTTTATTTAAATTATTATTATTTACAGGATAGGATAGTAGAAATATCTAAGCCAAAAACACCTGTAAAGTTACTGAAATGAAATCCAATAAAGGGTTAAAATAAGCTCTGGACGTAGCTTCTCGACGTGAAGCTCGTAATTTAAAAAAGTTTTAATTCTATTTGAATTCATTTTAAAATAGTCATATATAATATACAGGTACACCGACTGCAAAACCTATATATAATAATAGTTATATCTTCACTAGGTAAATGAAGTACCTACGATAACCAAACCATACGAAAATTAGTCCCCAATCAACAATATACCGACACCACAAAAAACAAACTTTTTCTCCACTTCTCATTTTTAAAGAGGTTAAAAAATGGCACTTCTAATTGTTAAAGTAAAAAAATTATTCATACTTTTATAAAGATCTGACTGCCGACATTTCAGCTCGGTTTTCAATCAATCACGCTTGTCTACAGGGACAGTTGGTAGAATTAATTATAATTTATGTTTATGGATCGTAAAATTTAGTAACGACCTAAATGTTATTTTCGACCAAAGAAATCCTTGTCTTTTAAAAATAATTTAAACCTATAAGAAAATTCAAGAAAAATGTTCAAAATATTTGATAACAGTCAAATCCACAGCTTAAATTATTTCTTAGGCGGAAAAATTAAACTACTTAATTTCACGAAGCTTGTATTCATAATTAAAGTAATTTTCAGAGGTTCCTTTTTCTTAAAAATCTAAGATGCCTCAGTTTCCGAAGAAAGGATGCAAGACGTCATAACATCAACATCTCATCTATTTCCGCAAGATAAATACCATTCGCGTGACGGCAAACTACAATGCCGCATCAGGTAACTATATACATTATACATAAATAATATATAACAATTTTAAAGTGATAATTTTCCGCTAAGAATAAAATTAGCTTCCCACTTTTCTACTTCATGTTCCTTCATCTCAGAATATTTTATTCATTAATCTTTAGTTACTAGGACAAGGTTCTATAAACTATCTTTACTTAGCCAGCAGTTGAGAGAAGTTTACTTTCTAGAGGGAGAGTACCAGAGGTTGACCTACTAGAAGTATTTTGGCCAAAGCTTTATAATTAACTAGCAGAACCCGCGGCTTCGCTCGCTCTAAAACTACAAAAAAATCTCTAAAAATCCTATTTACCCCCTTACCTATAGCATGTATTTCAAAAAATGCTAAAACACGTATTTATTTAATTTTATGAAGAGCAATTTCAAGTAATTCTGATCATAAATATTTTTTTAAATGTATTATAACGTGTTTTCCCGTGGGAATTGGATGATCTTCCGAGGTAAAAAGTAGCCTATGTCACTCTCCAGCCCTCCAACTATCTCCACACAAAAAATCACGACAATACATCACTCCATTTCGACGTGAAAGACAAACAAACAAACACACTTACACATTTATAATATTAAGTATGGATGTCATAACTTGATGTCATATTTGACGATACGTTTGGCTCAGTTTGTAGTGACCCTACTTGCAGTGCCAGCGTTTCGGATCGAGTCCCGCTGGGGGCATTCATTTGTGTGATGTGCACAAATGTTTGTACTCCTGTCATGGGTGTTTATATTTATAATATGTATGTATTTAAAGTTATATATGTGTAGTGTAAATAAATATATATTTTTTTACTATGTGTAGTGTATCAACTATCTGGTATCCATAACACAGGCCGCCTAGCTTACTATGGAATTAGACGGTGATGTGTGTTAATGCCCCACATACTCGTATTTATACATCTCTATCTCTGATAGACTAAATCAAATCATAGGATACTAATCTAAGCTTAATCCTGCTGCTTTTATATTCTTTTATTATATACTACAGCGGTATTATATACAATTAACACTTTATTTTAAGGTCGACCACTGTACGCGAGGCACCGTCATTAGCGTTACGTCCGGTTCCGACCCACTTCCGAACGTGGAGTCTATTGTACGCCTGTTTTATATTTGTTTGCCATTTTAATGTCTCGCTTCAAGCTTTTATAAATACTGGTGACCTTAAGCAACTTAACTCAAAAGAACTGCGATAAAAGCTAAGATAAAGTCGAGAGGAGGAATTTTGTTTGTTATTTCTTCTATTATTATCTTCTTTAGAAGAGGTTGTTTAATTGTTATCTTCTACTATTTATTCTATCTCTTTTTCTTCGACCTTTTACTGATTTAACTGATTTTTATTTTTCATATCGATTTTTTTTACAAAGTATAATCACACCTGACCATAGTTATGTGATTATACTTAAGTTAGGGAGGCCAAGAAGAGATTTTGGGATTTACTCAAGCGTAGCAGATAATTCATAAATATTGTGGACGATTTTTGTCTCTTCGGCTTGTATAGATAGATTATTGAATTGCTAACTTTTCAGAATGTAATTAGCCTAACACACTTTAATCTGATGGTTTCAAGAATTTCTTACTTATTAAAATATTTTAAATATTACTATCGGCTGCCCTGGACGCGCTACCTTATACAGATAACTCATATATAGTGGAGTTACTCAACAGAGTGCAAGGTATTCCCTTTTATGTGAATCTGTCGCGCTTGAGTAAACTCCAAAATACCCTCTTGGGTTCCCCTACTATTGTGCTAGAACTTCCAGAGGGGACAGGAAACAATGCACAATAATTGATTCCGAAAAAAGTGTACAAATCGTCATTAGTTAAAATTTTGATGATCAATTATTAATGTATCAATTAGTAAATTAACATTTTGTGACAATAACAATACGAAGAAACAGTTCTTGTGAGAACAATTATTTTACCACTAAAATTTTTACAGTTTACATACGAGTATTATGCTATTTAAGATACTTTTTCAGACCATAAAAGCAGTTCGTTATGACAGCAACCCTAATTGTTAGATTTAAAAGAAACTCGAATAATTTATAGTTATTATAAAATTATTACCAGCGATACGAAAAAAAATAATTTGGCATGGACATCAGAAATCTCGTTACGGCTACTTTATACATTTATTAATAATTTTAATAATGCAAATTGATTAAATACGCTACTCAACGCGTAAAGTATATTTTGTTTAAATACAAAGGTGTAGGAGTAAGAAATATCTTTTGTGAGTGTTAGCTCACGAGGTCCTAGGTTCGATAAACATGGGGTGGTGGAAGACTGTAGTGCTATGCGTCGCCGTGATCTCAAACTCCGTTTTGGGAGAAGGTAAGTGAGTTATTTGTTTAATCCGACTAAAAACTTCTAATGTAATATTTTTAGCATTCTTTATTACAAGTAGATTAATATTCTCGTTTTTTTATTAACCACATTTTGTTACTCGACCGTGACATTTATTTAATGCAAACGCTATTTGTTTTACTTAAACGATATAATATTAATTTAAAAATAATAAATATTTTTGATGCCACGTTTGATCTTCGTCTGCAGTAAACAGTTTTTAAAATAATATAATATTTTGGAAATATTAGAGGGAAATGTTTACATACTTCTAAGGTTTTTATGTCAATGTGAACCGAACAATAGTCGGGAAAGAGAGTAACACAATAATTGACAATCCAAAACGAAGGGCACAAAATCCAAATGACATAGAATAATAAATAAATGTTGTTAAAAATAATACAATTATTTTTTCAGATTCCGAAGATCGGTTAGGATTGAGTTTATCAGATGCATCAGCTGCCGCATTAGCCAGCAGTAGTAGCCTGAGCCAAGGACTACTACCACCTGGCCCAGGATTACTGCCACCAAGCTCAGAATTACTGCCACCAAGCTCAGGATTACTATCACCAAGCTCAGGATTACTGCCACCAAGCTCAGGATTACTGCCACCAAGCTCAGGATTATTACCACCAAGTACGTTATTTAATTCGTAATAGATTTTTTGAAACTTTTTGGAATATTTGCTATTACAAAACTTAAGATTTTATAGTTAAGTCTAATATACGAATTAGTATGGTGAGCTCCCTAATTGTCATCAATCAGTGATAATTTAAACTTCTGTTATAAAAAAATTGGGTTTTAATCAAAATTATTCTGGAAAATTTTAAGATATTGTACATTCAAGTACTATACTAGATACATCGAATCATAAATTATCTTTAATAAGGACAAAATTACTTCATGAATTTTCTGTCCAAATTGGATATTCTTTTACAATCGTTTATAAATCAAGAAACTTAAAAGATCACCAATCTTTTCATCTTCCTATTGCACTTTGAACTTTGAAAGTCTCGCAAAAATATATTAAAGAGAATTAATCCCATCGGTCGATTGCAATTCGGCTCACATTGTTTAGAACTCAAACAGAAACAGTTTTATTTAAAAAAAAATACTTTTTCGCAGCTGATCAAGGATGTAATCAACCAGGCGACATGTACTATATTCGTGCGTACGACGACTGTTACGTTTGTGCATGTTTCATGTCTCCCTCATACGTATTGTCCCAGAAATGCGTTCCTTGTTCTCAATGTCCTGCGGGTGTGTATTCAAAACAAAGTAAATGGACAAAGTACAAATTCTAAATACTGACACATATTAATCAAATCTTAATATTATAATCCTTATGATTATTATAAATGTGTTTATCAGTTAATCACTCGAGATGTTTTTATTCATTAATTTATTCTCTTCGAATATGTCATATACCTATTAAAAGTTATACTGGAATGGGAAATATTTATGACCAATATTTTACAACATGTGTACATAAGAAGTAATTCCTATTTAAAAAGGCTATATCTGTCTGAGTTTTACAAAAATCATGTATATGACAAATACGACAGTTTTTTATCGTTATCCACGTTTCTAATCATTATTACCTATTTGACCTAGAATAAAATAACAAGTTTTTAATTTTTATCATATAGCACCAACTCCAGACCCATGGCCTGTAGTACCACCAGCACCTGAACCAATATGTAAGCTTTATTAATTACTAATGTTTTTACCCTGATTATATATCATTTACTTTATTGGATTCACTTTACGTCTATAAAAGTTTAAGACGGAAAAATCATATTCAATCAAAAGTATCATTTCTTATTTGAAAAACGTAGTTGATTATTTGCGTATATTACTAATTTTATAATTATTAATATATGCAGCATATACTACAGCTGAGATACTTTTGAATGAAATAAAAATAAATAATATTTTTTCAGGTCCACCTCCAATCATCATACCCGGTCCAGTAAGACCTTATCCAGTACCAATTCCAGTTCCGGGCAAGAAGATTGTTGTTCCTATACCAGTACCTGTGCCTGTACCCTCGCCTCCAGAAAAAATATATGTACGAGGTCCATCCATACCCGTACCATACCCACAACCCGTGCCGGTTCCTTATGGAGTACCGCGACCAGTACCCGTACCGTCTCCACCCAAATACTTCCCTGTTCCAGTACCGGAACCCATACCAGTACCAGGACCAACTAGGGATGTACCAGTTCCGGTTCCGGTTCCATCGCCTCCAGTCCGTGTACCCGTGCCAGTACCAGTTCCAGGACCAACAGTAGATGTACCTGTGCCAGTGCCTGTACCTTCACCACCTGTTCCAATACCGTACCCGGTAAACCGTTACATTACAATACCAGGTCCAGATAGGCTTGTGCCCGTTCCAGTGCCCTACACTCGTAAGTTTTTTTTATTTTATACTATTTGTACATTGATATCTTAGTACATTTACAACAAAGGAAGTACATATATTCTTAGTAGTTCGCCTTAAGATAAATAGCATTAGGGTGTGTAGTGTGATTTTTTTTATATTTATTATTTTGTTTGCAGGAACAAAATATTATCCAGTACCAGTCATCATTTACGTAGGTGGGTCCTTTTGCTTTTTAAAATAAGATATTTTTAGTCATTCGGATAACCTTTTTCTTACGCTGTTTCTTCTTACAGCGCCATTATGCAGGAGTCAAGTGCCATTAGTACCATTCGTAGTTCCTGGAGACAACTGCTATATTCACATATGTAAGGTGAAATACAACTATGTTTATATAGAATCTCAGCAGAGGACGTCCGGGTGTGTCGGTAAGTTGCAAAATTAAAATTACAAACGATTCAATTTAGACTTTAAAAACAAGAATTGAAAGACAGAAAATGTATTAAAATAATGTAATAAAAAAGCAAGAATCACATCAAGATCCTATTTAGTTAACTATATCTATATATATATATATATATATATATATATATATATATATATATATATATATATAACTCTATCATAATATAAATAATGAGCCTATATCTCAATAGCTTTTCTTAGGGCAAATATAAAAAATGATAAAATATATTTTTTTAATTAGGTCCCCTGTTATCTTCCTGGAACAGTGAATCATCAGCACAAAGCATCACTAATGCTAATACCGGTGGGTTAGGTCTCGGCGGATTTGACTTAGGAGGTGCTGAGTCCAGCGCAAGCGCAGACGCTGTTTCTAACTCTTTAGGAGAAGGATTAGGTGGAGGCTGGTCTAATGTAGCAGCAGCAAGTACGGCATCTAATAGTGTAGGTGGTTGGCCAGGACTAGATGGATCATCAGCTCAGGCTGATGCAATGGCCAATGCAGCAGGTGGGGGTTTCAACAGTTGGTCAGAAAACTATGGAACTATTTCATCAGCTTCTGCTGATGCATTAGCTCATGCAGGTTCGGGTGGTATAGGCGGCTGGCCAAGTAGCTATGGAAGTATTGCCTCAGCTCAAGCTGAAGCAATAGCCAATGTTGGGTCAAGTGGAATCAATGGTTGGTCAGGTAATTATGGAGGTGTTTCATCAGCTGCTGCTGATGCAGTAGCCAATGTAGAATCTGGTGGAAGTTTTTCTTGGCCAGGCAGTTATGAAGGCGTATCATCGGTTTTAGCTGACGCAGTCGCCAACGCAGGATCGGCTGGTGTTGGTGGTTGGCCTAACAGTTACGGAGGTGCTTCGTCTGCTTCAGCTGATGCAGTAGCTAATGCGGGATTAGGTGGTCTTGCTGGTTGGTCAGGCAGTCATGGAGATGCACAAGCTGATGCTCTAGCTAGTGCGGGCGCAGCAGGTTATGGAGGTTTGTCAGATGCCGTAGCTAATGCTTTAGCCCAAGCAACAAGTGGCGGTTATGGAGGATTAAGCAATGCTTTAGCTCAAGGACAAGCGAATAGCCAAAGTGGACTAGGCGGATGGGGATTGTATAGCAAAAGCGCAGATGATACGAAAAAAATATTATGATTTTTTTTGCTAAATTGTAAGTTAACATGAAAAAATATATCAGTTTGAATATTAAAATTTTTGAAAATATAATGAATACGCACGTTATATTTTTGTTACAGATAAACATTCATCGCGATGATCTCTCTGCATTAACCTATAGCTGGCTTGTACGAGTATCTTGGATTTGGTTTATGTTAAATAATATTTGCATTGTAAAATAGATAATAAGACACGCTTCAACGGGCTTCATAATAATTAAATAATTGGGACAAATTGTGCTTTTATTTTTTTAGTTTCCTATATATTTTTTACCTAAGTTTTATTTTCTATTTCAATTATATCACACATGAAAGAAAATAAAAAGTAATTTACTATGACATCTATAACAAATTATATTGATAGAACGAATGGAATATCGAATAAGTAACAAATCAAAATTTTATCTGAAAGTCGATAAATCAATATGACTAGCTAATTTATATGGACGAACATTATGCATTTAAGACGAAGTGCGTAATAGATATTGATTCAGTTTAAGAAGTTACCTTAAGAATATCACAAGGGCTCTTTAAGGAAAGTGGACAGATAAAAAGATCTAGTAATGCGGGGGGGCCTTGTGGGAGGCATATGTTTTCTTGCCTTCCTAACATCTTTTGGTAGCAAAGGTCACAGTTTGCTAGGCTCTCGCTATTTCCTCGCTAATATAGGTAAGCTCTTTTAAATGTATACATTAAATTCATTAAATACCTAATAATATAATTTTTAAGCTTACTAAAAATTTTAATTGCGTTTCCATTTATGTAGAAATCATTAAATAAATATTAGTGTTACTGTTGAACATGTAATTAATTATAAGTACATATTTGGAAGAACCACATAAATTCTTAATTTTTGTTTAATTTTCTGCATGATTTTTAACCGATAGCTTATCTAATCTCAAAATATCAAAACTATTGCCAAAAGCAGTGCCTAATTGAAATATTATACAAAATTAATTATTATTAAACTGATAGTTTCAGAATAATTAATGTAATTTAAATGATTTTTAAAGGTCCACTAAATAAAGTTACGCTACGACATAGTCCAGTACCAGCTGCAGCAAAATTCAAAAGGAATATAGAATATGATCAAGATTTAAATCATCAAAGTTATACATACACCGATGTTCAAGAGGATATAAAGGGTAGAACCTCAGCGGTTTCAGTGGGGAGTACCGGAGTTGGTTATGATGGTGAGCTAGTGAGCCCAAATTCATATATTAAAAATGGAAATGCTCAAGCATTGGAAAATGGAGAAGGACTAGGACAATCTTCTGACAATTATCTTGCAAGCCCGTCATCAGCATTAGACAATGTATCGGATATATTAGAAAATGTAAATGTAATGGGTCAAAATTCAAATATCCAACCAGAGTGGAAATCAGAGGACATAAGCAAAGAAAGTGATTTAGAAGACAGAGCAGCATATGCTCAAGCTGTTGCAAATGCCCACAGTTCAGGAAATGCTCAAACACAGGCAAATGCTCAAGCACAGGCAAGCACTCACGCACAGGCAAACGCTCAAGCGTATACAAATGTACGAGACAACCAATTTGGAATAGGATCATTGCCTTACAACTACCCTGTTTCGGCGTCATCTCTTGCACAAGCACTAACAAACGCTAATTTAAAAAAACAAAACTTATATAGTAAGCCATATTGGAAATCTGGTGATATCGAAAAAGTTGATGAAAGCGAAAGAGCAGTTCGACAATCAAAAGAAATTGAAGTACAAGAAGAAAGTGTGCAAAATGAAAAAAGTGCAAGGTATGTAATATAGAATATATTTTATACAAGACGTCCTTAATGTCACAATAAGGCATGGCATGTCTAGGACACATATTCTATTCTTTTGATGGTTTAATTAAGTGTTTTTTTAGTTATATATTATTTTTAATTTTAGCTCTATTCTTGAGTCCAGTCCAGTATCAGTAGATACTCTAGCGAATAAGCAAGAATCCATAACATCTGTTGAAACTTTAGAAAGAAATATTGAAAGTTCAGAACTAAATCTTGACTTGAAGGGTTTCACTCCAGAAAGAAATGTTGATGAAACAAAAACTGGTGAAGAAAATTTAAACCTCGAAGAAAGGAGAGGAGGTATGATATTTTTATAAAAAAAAGTCTCCACTTTGCAAATTTTCTTTTAATTGAATTGGACTATGCACAAAGATTTTAAAATTAAGGCCACAGCAATTAAATTTAAAGAATAATTTTTACCTGGATAGGACTAGACTTCAAAACCATATTCAAAAAATAATAAATTTTATGTCTTCAGGTTTCTTTGAAAGCTCTTTTTTTATTTTAAAACGTATTAAAATTGTAATTTTTCACGTTACAGTGGCGTCAGGCTACGTATTGCCCTATGAAGGTAACGTTCTATATTGAGACTTATGTAATGTGTTTTTTTCATTTTTATTTTCAATCCAATTAAAATACTCGACTTTTCCAGGATCACCATCAAGAGTTCTAGCAGATAATGAATTAATAGATCCAAACGCTGTATCAGGTTGTGTTTTTATATAGATAGATCTTTAGATAGACTTTAAAATGATTTTAATTATTATTATTTTTGTTTCGTTTACATTTTTTTAAGCTTATCTGACACCATACGTGAGTTTGTTCAGAATTGTATCATTAAAGTATACATCCGAATTGTGTAGATATTCCATTCTTTTTAAGTCGGTCAATAAGTAAATAAAATATTTTAGTTAAATAGTTATATTTTTTATATTGTCCGGTATAAGATATTCAAGAACTAAATTATAACGTAACTAAATAGGTAGTGAAACAATGGAGTTATTGCAAAACCGACATTTTTAATTTCTTCAAACTGTATTCTATGAGTGTGATAAAGAATAAAAAAACAATTAAATGTAAAACATGAAACCTGAGTGCAAATCTAATCTAATATAATGAATGAACTGTTTTCAGGTCAACCTATTGTGGTTTGTTCGAGACCTTATGAGATCCATGCAGTGTGGTTGGTAGCACAAGGATGTATGATTTGTACATGTGTCCAAGACAATTGGCTTTTAAGACCACTTTGCGCAAGTTGCAACACTTGTCTTACCCCGCCGCCACCACCACCACCACCGTTGCCAGAAATAATAATACCTGTACCTCCACCTTCACCACCCACACCAGTTCCTCAAGGTAAATTTACATTTACTACTAAGCTATATTCTATCTGTGTATTTAGTTTCATCGAAATCCGTGCAGCCGTTTCGTGGTCAAGAAATACCAAGTAAACTAACACACATAAAAACTCATATTTATAATATAGTAGTTCCATTATTTTGTCAATATTTATAACCCATGGGAATCACTTAATGTAGATAAAAAGTATTCTAAGTCCGACTTATAAGCTATCTATGTGCAAAATACACACACAGAATACAGAAAACAATTTATAGTCATTTTTGTTTATACATACATCCACAATGAAAAATAATAAGAAAACTAGATAAAGATTCAAGGCAGTGATATAGTTAACGAAAATAATATTTTATAAATAACCACTTTAGACTAAGGAGTGGTAAAATCAATTTATAGAAAAGTATAGTAAATTATAGTAAGTATAGTAAAATTAAAACCTGAACTAACCTGACCCCGAGCGAAGCAAAGATAAGTCGTTAGTAATCAATAAATAAAAGGTCTCTTTATATTTCGCAGTGTCCTGTGATCCATTACCCACTGAAACTCCATTCGAAAATCCGTTGAATCCGTGCCAGATATGCATATGCAAGCCAATTGTCAACGTATTTGGTCAACCTGATGTTCAAATTCAATGCGACGAAAATCCACAATGTAGTAAGTGATCGCTTCATTTTCTTATTCGGTTCTAACAAAGCTCGTATTTAGAGCTTTGTGCTTTTTTTGTTATATGATAGTTGTTAATACGGTTATATTATAGCTAAGAATTCACTTTATTGAAAACTTTAATAAACTTTATTCATCGCCATTGGTCCGTTGTAAGGAAGATGCAAAAATTAATAAATAAACTTTAGCTATTCTATTAATTATATAAAATTTATATAAGAATTTATAGAATAAACAAAGTAAATGTTCTATGATGCAAGATACAAAGAAATGCTAACTGCTCGGTTTAATTATCAAAGAAAGTAAACCGACTTTTATTTCACAATCATTTAAAAATAATGATTTCGCCCTAACAGCTTTCTATTTATACAATAAAAATTTAAAAGAAATTATCATCTACTAATATTAATATATGAAAGTAACTCTGTCTGTAACAACAGATTTCGATAAAATGTGGCTAGGACATAGATCACATCCTGAGATCGAACCTAGCTACCCTAGATCCCCATCCCAGTTACCACGAGAGTGCAGCTTCGAACAAAAATAATTATTTAACAGCAAGCCAGGTTATAATTATTTCGTAAACTGCAAATATATTGCAATACAAACAGAAGAATATTCAGGAAAAGCTTCTTTTACTTTTATAAAAGTCATCTAAATGCATTGGTACTAGTTAAAAGTCGATGAGATTTTTGAAAAACTAACATCTGTACATCTTTTTAGATAACTTATCTTCCTTATACCTACCTATATTATGTTAAGACTGCAATCACTTAATGCTATTTAAGGCCTAGTTATATCATTTTCATACTTGTCTACAGTAAACAAATTTTCATTTCTTTTACAGTGAGGCCGCCAGATATAATTCCTATACGTAAGTGTGAACAAATAGTAAATATTTGCGTTAAAGCATCCAATGCAATTGAAATTCATGTTTTGTTTTCTTTACAGCTCCTATACCCCAGCCGCCCTCGCCGCCCGTGCCGCGTATGTATAAATATTAACCTAATAAAATATAAAAGATTTATAAGGAAAATCCAGGTGATTCCGAAATCCCAAAAACAGATTTTTTCTTTGGACGTTTGTTTTTATTCGTTCCTAAACCGTTCAAGTTTAGGGATGCATCCGAGCGAGGCGAGGGTAAACTGCTAGTGCTACTCGTATTAATACAAAATTATAAATACGAAAAAGTCACCTTAAATTCCATTTAAGTTATTATTATTAAAACATTAATTATAACAATCAATTCTTAGAGTGATGGGAAAGAATCCATTTTCAGTTCCTATTATAATTAATTAATTGGTGCGTAACTGAGAGGCGAGGCAAATTCGATAATTCATACTTCTATATTAATAACGATTACTAAATGTCATTCAATTTAACATTGAAGATGTAACTACTTCATTAATGTATATGTTGGAGTCAAAACTCATTTTTTTCTGACATATTTTACATTTTTCTATAAAACAAGTTTTGTTTGTTTTACAGTTCCCTTATGCGAGAGGTTCCCTCTGAACGTGCTGTTCCCAGATCCACTCGACGGATGCAAGATATGCAAGTGTGTGGCAGAAACCTTCTTACTCGAAAAGAGGATTATATGCATGCCAAATCCTGAATGCGGTGAGTTATTTCAGACGCTTTATGGAAACGGAATTTCATTATGTGCTAAACATAATTTAAGCGAATTGTGCAAATTAAATCGTAGACTCACTGTAGCTATTTTCGTGATGCTTACCTGTAAAAAGAGAAATATAATTTTAGTTATATACTAAATCTAAACTAAGCAGTTATTTTTTCTAATATTTATTTAGAGCTAAATTATTAAACAGCCGATTAAATTTAGCAATGCCGTGTTTTATGCCATTAATAACTTTTACCTTAATATTGAAAATAAATTAACAAAACGTTATTAACTAGCGATTTCTATCTCTAGGTAACTAACAGTAGCCTATGTGTTACTTCAGAACATGATCTACCAGTCTACTTTTCATCCAAATCCATCTATCCGTATTAGCGTGATGAAGTAACAAACAAACATACACTTATAAGAAGTTTCGCATTAATAATAGTAATACTATTACAGAGCCACCAGTACCACTGCCAACACCAGTGCCGGAACCAGTACCGATACCGGAACCGGAACCAGAACCCGCACCCTTACCTCCTTTACCCCCATTCCCTGTGACTCCTGTACAGCCATTCCCAATTGTACCTCAGATACCACAAGAAATAGAACCAGGTAAGCTATATTTTTAGTTAAACACATTAGTTTTTTATAATGTGTAGTATGAACTGAACTTTATGAAAGTATACAATTAAAAATCTGAAGCAATTATTTTGATATTTGTTCCATAATGCATAATTTTTATATTCTTAAATTTATCGCAGATCATATTTTGTAGTTTGTACGTTTTTATGCTTCGTACACGTTATCTGTTGTTACTAAAAATATTCTAAAATTCCTTGAATATACTATATATTTTTTGACATACAACGCAAGTGTAGCTACGGACGAGAGACAAGTTATATATACATTAAAAATACGTAGTACAAGTTAACTTCTTTATGTTAACTTAAACTACATTTTCAGTTCCATGGCCACCTGTAATTGCGAACCGACCACGAAACCAAAGCCCGTTACCAGGACCACCACCACGTAAGTTCTAAAATCCATAAGATACAGTTATTTATTAACAGTTAAAAAAATCATTAATCATATAAAAAAGATAGTATATTTACTCTCCTTTTAGACCTTTCCTGTAGCAAATAAAAATATACTCTCCACTTCCTGTACATGTCAATATTAATAATTTATTTGTCAGATATTTGCTAAACTAAAGATGGCTGTTTGATAAAAGCTCGATTAAAGAAATAACAAAAACTTATTTTTGGTAATCCGCATTAAGACCTGCCCAATCCTATTAGGGGTTACGATGGAACTGACAGACAGTCAGCATCAAACAAACAATACGTTTTTGTCGGAAGCTAACAGTAACTGAATTATAACAACATTTCGTGTCATACTCGTATATACAATAATTCAATAAAGAATAGAAACAGTCACCTTAGATATATTCTACACATAATTTATAACCTTCATTTCGCAAATAAATAATGTTTTATATAAAATTTATCACCAGTGTCCCAGCAGGAGAATATGGTAGCGATTTATTTTAGAAACAATTTACGTAGCGTTTGCTGATATCTGTATGGTTATACATATCACTAGCCATGGTTTTGCGCATGTTTTTAATTATTTATTCAGATTCCAACCGCTTTATATAATCTTCCCATTTTGTGACCCCGTTTTTATTTAGGAGTACGTGGAATTTAAGGACAGCTTTGTACATAGGGTTTATTCCACCAGTGGAACTGAGTGTATAAACATACGTATATTTTTAACTTAAAATCGGTAATTTTAAAAATAGTAAATGTTCCATAAGACTCATTAGATATCTCCGTATTCCGTATTATAGACATAATTGAAAATTCTTACAATGCTTATGCTTAATATAAACTAAATTGCATTGCTACTTGTATGGAAAAGAAAGTTACAGCAAAATTGATAACGTGAAAATATTCTTCGTACGCAAATATCAATGTGTACCAATTTTCATGCACAAGTTGATGCACTGAACCGCCATTTAATGTCGAGTTACAACAAAAGACATATATAAACCAATTCCATGTAAAACACATAAATTGCGCTAAAATTTGAGATTTGTGGATATGTACAAATTAACATGACATATTTTTATTAATAGACTAGCGACTCACCCTCGCTTCACTCGGGTTAGTCCCTAGGTACGCTTTAACGGTTATGGAATAGATAAACTATATGTAGCCTAAAGCCCTCCACAATAAACGGGCTAATGCAAAAAGATTTTTTCAAATCGGATTAGTAGTTCCTGAGATTAGGGCGTTCAAACAAACAAACAATCAAATTCTTCCTCTTTATAATATTAGTATAGATTTTGAAAGAGCTAAAATTTTATGTAATGCATAATTTGTAACGACATTCTCCCTTAAAGTAAGGAAAACGATAGTGGGAATGCGCCAAGAATTACAGTCTAAGCATACCTCTGTAGCATTTATCACTGTCATATTTGCTTCTTGCATGCTCCTTGCAAGTTTAAATAAATGCAACTCGACCGATCTTTCATCGTCTGAGATCTAAGCAATTCTAAAACATGCTATGTAAAGATTAAATGAAATTCCTCCTCAAAAGATTTTACTAAGAATATATGACTTTTGAACACAAAACAATGTGTGATTTTTGATTTAATGATATTTGGATCAAAAATCATAAATACAATGCTTGTAAAGTTATAAAATATAGCTATTATAAATTAATATGGGCTTATCTGGTTATCTGGCATCTATTGTTTTTTTGAAGTGAAAACTTCTATAGGCACTTTGGATGGGGGGTAAATTCATGTAAGTCGTCATCGACATGGTTACGTGACGTGTAACGCTAACACTCAAGAGTGCCGATGGGTATCAAACCTCGATAAATGTAAACAGTTTTAATATATAAATTTTAATTAAAGATCAAACAATTAATTTGAATATCCAAAAATAACAACTGTTTGTTCATAGTTTTAAATTTTCACTTCCGTCGGCAGTCCTCATGACTGCTTTTTTCCTACGTCTATCATATTGTATAAGACTGCCTAGAAAGTTTTTGAAAGTCATGTGAAGTCCGCCAACCCGCACTTGGCCAGCGTGGTGGACTATGGCCTGATCTCCCTCGTATTATAGGAAGGCCCGTGCCCAGCAGTGGGACGTTAAAACAATAGGGCAGATTACATCATTTTTTATTAGGGTTACGTACACGTATTATGTGACACGAAGGTAATGCTTCTAATTTAGAAATTATTGTTTTTCATTAATACAGATGACACCTGCCGACCGTATCCACCGAATACACCCTTCCAGCATCCTTGGAACGAGTGCCAGATATGCGAGTGTGTTGAGATTTTCGGGCCAAATATCATCAATATTGAAGTGAATTGCTATACTAAACCATCTTGCTGTAAGTTTTAAGCCAAATTATTATTGAAATCTATTTAAATTTAAAGTAATATACTATTATATTATATAAAATAATATATCGTACACCAAACAATACGTGTTATTCTTAACTGATTAGATATAACGCTTTTTAAATATGAACAACTAATTTAATTAAAATTGACAAAATCCGTTTTTGCCGACGATTTAAAAATAAAAAAAATAATGATTGTAATATTTACTTTACAGGTATAGAGCTTCCGGTGCCAGGTAAAAAAGTAAAAAGTTTTTCTATACATAAACTAGTAACACCATATTATGGTTATACGCGTTAAACGTGTGGAATATTTTCTATCAAAAACTTAAAAAAAAACGACTTCCAGACACTAAAATGTAAAAAATAACTAAACGGAGGTTTTCATTTAGAATAGATACCTAATCAGATATTTTCAAAGTCCGTGCCAGCCAATGCAAAGCAAATCTAATAGCTATATTTCGATACGTATACATATTTACCTATTAGATATTCATATCTTATAGATATTGTAGGCACCGACTTCGAAATATCATGAATTCTAAATGAAAACCTCCGTTTAGTTATTTTTTACATTTTAGTGCCTGGAAGTCGGTTTTTTAAAGCTTTTATTTTTCAATTTTTAGTGTAGACGTAATAAGCAGGTAACTTGTAAGAATTATTTATTACGTGAATTAGATATTATGTACAAAAATATGACCTAATTTCTTTTCCAGAACCATTACCATTACCAGGGCCATCATATCCAGGTATTCACATATGATTAGAATAGATTATTTTAATATATTCTATTTGACTTCCTAACTACTCAATAATTAAAAAAAAATACTAACCTAAGACCTAACACATAACTTTAAAATAACACGCAAAATTTAAGAAAAATAATTATGAACATTGGTTAACAATATATATGACAAGTTTATGACGTATTGTGATGTGATTTTTTATACTTTGTGTTAGTCATCTGGTACAAAAAAAAATGTATTATCTGAACTTAAAAACAAAATATGAATAACTATTGTTTGCTATTATTATTATATCTCAAAACATGTATTTCCATGAAACAAATATTTAATTAATTTTAAATCCATTTACAGGGGGTCTATCTATTAAAACCTTAGGTACATACATATATCCATTTTTTCATATAATATTTTAATTTTATTCAATATATGTATGTATATTATCGATTTCTCAGATCCCATATGCGAGTTCCAAAGCTTAAACGCCGATTTCGCTCATCCGAGAGAACCGTGCAAAATTTGCAACTGTCAGATATTCGGTAACATAATTGTACCAGTATGTCGACTAGCAGATGGTCCTGGATGTAAGTAAAGATTATAAGTTTATTTTTTAATTCTGTATGTATTATAAAAAAGTAGTAACATTATAAGACATAAATACGTGTGTAATTTTTTTAATTTTTAATTTTAATTGTAGAACAATTAACGCAAGTCCGACTCGCTCTTGACCCATTTCTAAATTAAAACATTTATTCTTTATCCGTATTACATTTAATTATTACGTATATTAAGTCGAAATTCGTGTCAACAAATACAAAACGGTGCCAGCAAAATAAAAATCTTTATAGGGAAACAGCGCTAAACAAATAAAGTAAAAATTTACGGCGTGCACCGACATGACCGTCAAAATTGACAAACGGCCGAAAAAAATAGACGGCGAACCCATACACAATTGCCACAGGTGTTGTTAAGAGCGGAAACATGGGGTGGAAATTTCAGTAAAATACAGGGCTTACGGAATAAGGTCAACAATCGATGGTCAATCATTGTAACAATCAAAGCGATTTGATGATTGACTGCCCAATGTATTGCTTCTACGAGTATACCCTAGGGCCCCAATTTCACTGTACTTTATGTTTGTTTTTGATTGCCCCATTATTGGTTTCAGGTAACGTCCTGCCCGGTAAGTTACTGCGATGATATAAATTTCTTTTATTAGAACGAGTAATTGACCGTTTCTTATTTATTGTAGGACCTCCGCCTTATGGAAATGTGATATATATTGGTGAGTAATAACTAATAATACAGGTGTAAATATGAAAATATTTCGTAAATAATTTCACTAAAATATTTGTTTTAGAACCGAAGTGCCGTTACCGGATACCATATGGAACATTCGTTGTAGATTGTAATTCATGTTATTGCCAGGAAGTCTTCCAATATGTGATCGCAAAGTGCACACGGTTACCAAATTGCGGTAAATATAGAATATGAATAAAGTAATTGACTGTATTTTAGCCTTAGTGTTTTAGCATGATTAAGAAATTTATATATTACTAGCAGAACACAACAAAAAAATCTCTTTGGCTTTATGTTTTAAAAAAAATGGAGGGCGGGGGTAGGAAGGTGAAAAATACTTTACGACCCAACCCTACCAAATATACAATTTTTTTATTAAAATCGATCGAGCCGTTTTAGAGAATAGCGACCACAAGCGCCGTAACACGAGATATTTATATATTAGATAATAATAGAAGCGTGTAAAAATTTGAATTTTTTATTTACTTATTCGGATAAACTGTGTATTATATTGAAATTATAACTTCAGCTATTTCGAAAAAAATATCGTTAAATCAAATAATACTTTCTTAATACTTTCTTAGATTTACGCGAATATTTGACATTTTAAATAAAACTATATTTTCGGATTTTGTCGCGGATTTATTTGCATTTTTGTTTCCCGACGTTTCGAATGCTTTACAGCATCCATGGTCACGGGAGAGATCATTTTTATAAAATGTTAAAGTTAAAAAATATTGTAATGTAATTGGTGCAATTTTCATTTTGTTAATTGTGGGTAGGCTGTCTGTAACAACTATACCTCCAAGACATGTAACACCTCAGTCTCTCCCGTGACCATGGATGCTGTAAAGCATTCGAAACGTCGGGAAACAAAAATGCAAATAAATCCGCGACAAAATCCGAAAATATAGTTTTATTTAAAATCGTTAAATCAAATTTATTTTTACAGTTTTAGGTCAAAATTCACCACTAGGCAGTAATGCAGATGCTTTAGCTTCTGCAACCGCTTTAGCCAATTCACAATCACAAGGATATCAGCCGGGATATCCATCACAACCAGGACAGTGGGGAAGTCAAGTTTCATCTGCACTTGCACAGGCACAAGCACAGAGTAATTCCGAAGCTCAAGCTTTATCTAATGCAGCAGCAAGTTCTAGTAATCAGTATCCTTACGGAACTATTGGTTTAAATGTCCCAAACGCCTATCCAGGTAGTTTGTCTCCTTGGCTCAATTCATACCCTTATGGATTTTACACTTCAGAAAGTGCAAATGCTCAAGCGATAGCTAATGCTCAATCTGTCGGCTCACAATATAACTACCCTTACTTCCCTGGAGAAAGTCAATCTAGTGCCCAAGCTCAAGCTGATGCAGTAGTAAATACTCAATTGCTAGGATTATCGCCATATGGAGTCTATCCTTATTCACCTGGAAGTAGTCTTTCTAATGCACAGGCTCAAGCGAAAGCAATTAGCAATGCTCAAGGTACTGATTTATATGGTAATTATCCTTATTTACCCGGGGGAAGTCAATCTAGCGCACAAGCCGATGCAGTCGCAAATACGCAATCGCTAAGTTTATCTCCATACGTAGTCTCTCCTTACTCTCCTGGAGGTGGTTTTTCTAATGCGCAGGCCCAAGCTGAAGCAATAAGTAATAATCAAGGTAGTAGCTTATTAGGTAATTACCCTTACTTACCCGGGGGTACACAATCTAACGCCCAAGCACAAGCTGACGCAGTAGCAAATGCCCAATCGCTAGGTATATCACCATACGTCGTCTATCCTTACTCTAGCGGAGGGAGTCTGTCTAATGCACAGGCTCAGGCCGAAGCAATAAGTAATGCCCAAAGTGGTCAAGAACAAGCTGATGCAATAGCAAATGCACAATCGCTAGGTATATCTCCTTATGTAGTTTACCCTTACTCTACTGGAGGTAGTCTTTCAAATGCACAGGCGGAAGCAATCAGTAATGTTCAAAGTACTGATTCATACGGTAACTCTCCTTATTCGGGCGGGGGCAGTCAATCTAGCGCCCAAGCACAAGCTGAGGCAATCGCAAATGCACAATCTCTAGATGTATCTCCAGTTAATACTTACTCTGTTGGAGGTGGTCAAGGAGCTAATGCATATCCTTATTCACTTTTTGGCGGTAGTCAATCTAATGCACAAGCGCAGGCTGAAGCGATAGCCAATGCTCAATCTAGTGCTTCTCAACCCTATAACCCCTTTGATTCCTATATAAATTATCCTTCCTATCCTGAAAATATTCAAAGTAATGCTCAAGCTAATGCAATCGCAGCATCTCAAAATTCCCTAAATTTGTACTCGCTACCTAGCACTAATATTAACCCCATTTATGAATCTGGAATCAATGGCTGGGAGAGCTTATTGCAAGGACAAAGACCCTCGGAAGCCGTAGCGGAATCTTTAGCCAATGCTCAATCGCTAGGAGAGTCACAAGCTTTTTCACAAGCCGTGGCCCAAGGAAGTACAAGTGAGTTCAAATATGTTTTATTATATATTTGGATTTTTTATAGCTGATCTTAAATAAATTAATGTATTAATTAATTATCAGTATTTCTTGATTTTTATTCTCATTTTAACTTTTAGGTGCACAGGCTTTCGCACAAGCTGCAGCCCAGTCTGGAACGCCTTTAATGAGATCAGGTAAATTTCAATATTATTTTTCGAACATTAGAGCGGTACACTAAAGAAGGATGTTATCGAAAGGAATTATTAAACAAACTTGTGTTTACTTTTTAACAAGCGTGGCAAAGTAATGCTCTCGTGAGCCCTGTCAACTTTTGGGATACTCGTAAATTAAAAATATATTACTAGAGCAGATGGCGTGCGGATCTCATGCAAATTCTATTTAATCAAACTTCCGCTGAATCCCCCAGGTCAGAGCCTACTACTTATTGGATTTTTCGAGCAAAAAGTAGATTCGAAGGAAGAAATGCTTTTAAGTGATCTCAGCTAGTTTATTTTGTTGATACAAAACATGTAACTTGATTGTATTTTCGTATTTAAATGAAACAATTATATTTGATTAAATTCATATTGGTAATGTATACGACAAACATTTTAAGAAAAAAATCGTAAACACTACTCTTGTCTTTAATTTATATAGTACTAGCATTGCCCACGGCTCCGCCTGCGTTCAGATGACCAAAACCCAAATTCTTAGATTTTACATATTAGTATTATACTCTTACATTGCAGTTTTTGTATTTTTTCTCAGTTTTCTCAATGAGACATTTTCCCGCGGTAAAAAGTATCCTATATGTTGACCCGGATAACCAGCTATCACCAAACCAAATTTTATCAAAATCCCTCCAGTAGTTTTTCTGTGATGCGGTAACAGACATCTAGACAGACAAAAATTCTAAAAACTATAGATTCTGCCTCTGTATCGATAATAATGTCTATTTCAATAAGATTTACCAAAAAATATTGAATGTACAGATTCGACTCAGTCAGAATTTTATTATATTATGTATAGATAAAGCCTATATTACTGTACTTCATAATTATTTATCAAAAAATATGCAAACCCTAAACAATGTATGACAATTTTAGCTCGAACATAATAAAATTATTTTTCTTACTTCATTTTCCACAACTGTACCGTCAGGACAATCATACTCATTGACACTGTTTTGTAGGCCCAGGTCTTTGCCAGTATGTTGGCGATAAATACCACCAGAATTGCCAAGCGTGCTACTGTTTCCAAGAAGTAAATGGTGCTCTATACGCACTCTGTTTGGGTACACCTTGCGCTTAGGACGAACAGGTGTAGCACCTTTGTCTATTATCCACTATTACATATTAAAAATATTTCGATCGCTTTATTTCTCACTTCTATTATTTCTATCTTTCTATTGTTTTTAACATGTTAATATATTTTTCCTTTTTTATTTTCATTCTTTAGCGGTAGCGTCATTGTAAATGCGGTCTGAAGCGATTTTACTATGCAAGGCAAGACATCTAAATTATTGCTATTATAGCTTAAACTGTTCTCACATTTAATTGAGCTTACATTTATAGAAAAACAATCACAAGACAATTTTAAAATATAAACAAATATTTTGGTTAATTTTCATACAATGTTGTTTTTTCCAGATTCAAAAGAAGAAAACGATGATTCAACTACAAATACTTAAAAGACCTAAGACCTAAGAAATGACACGGAAAAACTAATTATAACGGATTTTTTTTATAATTTGATAATCATATTGACTAAGCACGCTCAACATTAAAGGCATATCAAAAGCATGTTTAGAAGTTTTATTTCAACTGATTTCATCAGTATGTCCTCAATATTTAATTTTAAACAATAATATAAAAAATATCAAAAAATGACTTATAACAATAGCACATACAATTTATTTTACTAGTAATTGAAATAACCAATATCACTTCCTGCTGGTTACAAAGTAATACTAGCCAATTTCAGAAGAGAAAATACCTAAAACGAATTCTTTTACAAATATTTGGACAAAAAAAAAACAAAAAAAGTCACAAAAAATCTTAACAAAGCAGGACAAATATGATCAATCATGTTAAAAACTTACATTGCGTGGAAATTGAACCTGAAACATCCAAGATATATATGGATATGAATATCTAAAATAACAATAATAAATTGATTGTTTGTAAATAGCTGTTTTATTTATAAACAACGTCGCATTCTAAACGAGTCTAAGGAATGAGCAATAAAATTATATTGCTAGAAATGTTTATACCGTTTATGTTTTGATAAGGACGTGGCTTTTTTTTGTTAACAGAAGATATTTAATGAAAAGAATGACTTGGATTGTTTTACTCATAATTAGTGGTAAGTGTTTTAATAAGGACTCTTATAAAGCCGAGGTTTATTGTGATAGCTTTTTGTATGGAAGTGGGACAGAATTTTTATATTACATTTTTGGAGTATCATACAAATGTAGATTCATTAATATAACAAAGAGGATAAAATTATTTCATAATTTTGAATAACGAACACCGTCCAATAGTATCCTATTCCGATAATTAATATTTATTTATTTATGTTTGTTTGTCGGTTAGCTTATTTATGTATGGTTTGAGGACAATTAGAATTATTTTGTTGAAAAACTAGCAGAACCCGAGGCTTTGCCCGCGTTCAAAGTACAAAAAGACAAACTCTTCTTTCCCTTCCCTTTACAATAATGTATGGAAGTCTGCCCGAATGATTGACATTTATGATTGCTGCTCCGCTCCCTTGGGTAGTGGCATGATGACATGTAACCTATAGCCTTTCTCGATAAACGAGCGATTTAAATCAAAAAGAATTTTTAAATCGGTATAGTTCCTGAGATTAACTCTTTCAAACAAACAAACTCTGCCTCTTTATAATTTTTTTTTATAAGTTTAGTAATTATTCTATGTTGATTTGCATTTATTTTATTAAATACAAATCTACTGAAAACTATTAAGATTTACATACATCAGCTGATTACGTTACCTATGTATATGTAAATTAATATACGTTAATATGAAAGTTTCTCTACGAGTAAAGCTTAAAATTTATAATTTAGAGCACTAACATTGTAGCAGCTTGTATATTTTATGTGCATATTTTTGAATTCTTGGAGCTGATTTTAATTGAAAATGAGTGTCTCATTTCTAATCCCATATAGCTAATACTGTTGTACTAAATGAATTTGTAAAACGATTTTTGTACTTTATTCTTAAAAGATATTCGGAAGCACGATATTATAAGGAATTGTTATGAAAATAGTATATTATGGACTCTTATAAGCAAAGAGAATTCAATTAATCCCTCCACGACCGCGGACACGCCGGCGTGTCAGTTAACAATAGATTTCTTAGAAATTTACCTTTAGGTGTACAAAAAATTCAAAACATATTTCCTTTATACTTCAGTATTTCTATTTTATATTCAATCAAAATAATACATTTGTTCTCTCTTCAGTATCGCATGGTAAGGAACAAGGGCTAACGACTAATAATGGCTTAGAATTTCTTGAAGATGTAAAAAATATAGCAGGTTTTGGGGACGCCCAACACAGAGGCCCGCAATGGTACGATTACGATTCCATGTCTTCTGGTGACAGTCATTTGAAATTGAAAAGTGACTACAGGTAAATAATATATACATTTTTATTTGTTTACTGTTGACGTGCCCTGACTTCGTCTAGGTTTAAATCGATTCATACATACAAAGAACAAAAGTATACACACAATTTCGTTACTGAACACTAAAGAAAAGTAAAAAAATGGTATTATTTTAAATTATTTTAACAAACACGCTAAATCTACTTCAAAATAACCTATTACATCATTAGTAATGATATTTCTGAAGTTATACTTCCTTTGGAACGTTTGGAAATAAATATGACATTTATGAAATTTAATCATTAAAATTCCACCAAAAATCCGATTTTAATAACTTTTCCTTTTTGAAGTCCATCAAAAATTGTACTAATGACCATATTTCTTAGCTCTTCACTATCAGCCGAACCCAGCAGTATATCATCGAGCCAAGCCTCTGAAGCATCTTCAATAGAGACCAATGAGAAGAAACGAGCGTAAGTATTTTGAGATGAGATTGGGTGATGCTAAATTTTTTATCAATCCAAGATTTAACTGAACTTAAAATGGGCAAAAATCATTTAGCTACTATATTTCATGAGTTTTCATTGGATTGATGCAAATTAACATGATTTTTGCATTAAGACAGTATTTATGTCGGAAATTGACATATGATAAAATCTATCATGGTCACAGTCGAATACAAAGTTCGAAAACTATTTAGGATCTTTAGACATGCGATATCCGCGACTTTTTCTTTATTTATTTTATTGACACACGAAAATCTCAGAATTACCAAGCCATCTTCTCGAATCATCTTTATTGTTTCCAATGACATATCACAATATATAAGTATCTCTCCTGAGTGAGGATTACTAAGAAATATTTTTACATTTTTCTTGTCAGGTAGCTGTACTGGTTTAAATAGCTTCTGTTCATTGTGCATTTTAGCGTAAAAGTATTCTTGGAATATTTTATTCTTGCATAATTCATAAAAGACTGGATATTTTCTATTCATCACTAGTACTATAAAGCTATGAAAGGACTCTTACAATAAAATATTACAGTATAAGAAATACTTTAGGTTTGTAGACGACATTAGTGTTAATTTTATGTATATATGAAATTACACGTCTGACTGTTTGACGTCCATCTTATATATTGCTGTTGTTTAAAGAAATAACAATATGACAAACAAAACCATTCTCGTATCCATATTAGTATCAAAAGGGATGTTTTTTAACAGCAGTTTAAAAATCATCCCTTTTGAAATCTAGCAGAAGGGATGATTTTCACCGATAATTTATAAATATCATCATACCGGTGACTTATTTTCGTAAAGCATAATTTATAATATATAGTGATAACTACTACTATATTTAATTTGTTTTGTATATGTTTAGAACTATTTTCATTGTATTTCAACCACTCTCATCTAAGTAACTTCCAAGGATAGACATTTGATTTGCAAAATACTTTTTATATTTGATTTGTTAACCCATTTTTCAGAACAAAAACATATAGAACCTGCACTACTTGTCCACACGACATGATGAAAAAGTACAAAAATTTTGGTATCAAATGGATATGTGGTGGATATCAACGAGCACGTCGATCTTTTAAAAGCGAATGTATGATGAGGTACCGAAATTGTCAGGATGGTACTAGTAAGTTACGTCGGTGTTTTCCATTTTAATTTGCTTGTCACTCGCTATATAAATATAATTTTAAATACATACATATTTTAAATATAAACACCCATGACTGGAGTAAAAATAAACGTGCTCATCACACAAATGAATGTCCCCAGCGGGATTCGATCCCGCGACCGCTAGCACAGTAAATATGGTCACTATAAACTGAGCCAAACGTGTCGTCATGTTAGGAATGAAATTTATGACAAAAATATATAATACAAATACAAACATCGTTAAAATTAGAATTAGTAGTATTCGTGGAATCAACTTTAAAAAATGTACTGTATCAAGGGCACTTAAAAAATTGGGTACGAATCAAAACCTCGCAAGCTCATCCGTCTAAGTCTGTAAACTACTTAGTTTAAAGACCTGGACGGAACGAGCGGGTTCGAGGTTGGTAGAGGAAAATATTTAAACTCTATTATTTCTCTCTTAACATTCATAGCCCTCACATCGATGAAATTTGATTGAAAAACTTTGCTTCCATTAAACGTTAGAACGAAACGACGAACAAAATTACGTAATATATGAGTAAATGATATTGCAGCAAACTCGTACATAAATATTTTATTGATAAAAATATATAATCCTATTGATTCCTATTTGCCAATCCTACGTATCTTTTACTGACTTTTAATATCAATTTCTCATTTCGCATTCAGAGCTCAACCGTATCATGGCTTCACACCAGCTTATTACCGCGATGAATAATTGTGGGAGCGTGCAAGATATTTCTATTCATACGATTTTTTCAATTTCAGTGTTCGTGAAACTGTACGATCATCGTTGCAAGAATAATTCGCACCATGGCAGGCACTGGTTTTATATTTATAAAGTATAATGACGTATTAGATATTTACTAGCACTCGGTCGCGGCTCTGTCTACATATTTAATAAATAGCAAATTTTCATACAAATCGAACTGTTTTGTACCCCTTTAGGGATTATATTTTCAAACTTCATAGCGGTGTCTTAGCAGATACCAAACCCTTGTGAAGAATCTATCAGTCAAAGTTAAAGATTGTAGCAATGTATTCATGAATAATCTGTATACTTTTCTTATACATCTTTTTATCATCTCTACTCTTGCTGCAGTGAATTCTCAATTTTTGGTAATTCAAATTTTATATAGTATGTATTTTAAAAAATAAGCTATAAAGATTGTTTTGTTTGCTTGTTTCTTTGAACGTACTAATCTCTGAAAGTATCAGTTCGATTAATAAAATGTGTATGAATTTTATAGCCTATATTTATTTAGCGTTCTTGGGTTATCTAATATCGGGATATGACAACTGTAAGGGGTCCTCCCCTGGTACTCGTATAAAAAAATAAATTTCGCATTTTTGAACTATTCAGATATCAATTTTATATCGCGGTTCAAATTTGATTTCATAATCTGTATACATTTATTATACAAATTACAATTATACTTAATGATGAATAATTAAGTTTCATGTATTATTTTTGTAAATGGATCTTAGTCTAAGATTAAATTCATTTGCGAGATAATATACAGTATTTTTAAGAAAATTGTAACCATACAATAAAAGAGAGCTATTTATTCTTACTTTGTTCAATATTATTTATTTACTATTAAAATTAGCTTAAGCTTCTAATACTTTTAAAGACTTAAGTATAGTGTAAACAGTTTTAGAAATAAAAGCAGCGTGGTTTTGTTTTTGTGGTAAAATTTTGATTTCACTTTAGTTATTGCAAACGCCACAAACGCTATTCCCACGTGTTTCACAAAATATCAAATTATAATTTCTAGTGGAGCGCATAATTGATTACTGCACTGTACGATATTTATTAGTTTCGTGCTCACATTCTATTTGAATATATTATTTACTAGCGATTCACCCTCGCTGTGCTCGGGTTCGTCCCTAGGTACGTTTTTACAGTTAGTATGGAATAGATTATATATATATATATATATATATATATATATATATATATATATATATATAATAATTCAATGTCGAAATATTAATCCAAATATTGGTAAAGTCGTATAAAATATATAAATTTTTAAACAGTAAAGCCTCAGCGAACAATCTCTAAGATTTATATCGAAAAATTCAATTGCAAAAAGTCGAATGGAATTCTGAAGTCACACGAAATGAAATACCTAGAGATCGAATCAGAAGAGCGTTTCGTAAAACTGTTATATTGAAAAGCGATAAACGTTGCCACTAAACGGATTTATGATTTTTCCACTTTTAAAGAAAATATAAAAACCACAGATGAGATTGAGAGCAGTGGATGTTATTATTTTCTTCTGTGCCGGTATGTATATACATTCTGTATACAATAGATCTATCTATTCAATGACACCCCTAATTATATGTTATCTTATTATATATATATATATATATATACTAGCATTGCCCGCGGCCGGATGATCATGATCATGATCAGATGACCAAAAACCAAATAAAATAGCGCTATTGTTATTTTTTTCAAGATAAGCTATTTTAATAGTTTTTGCCTTATTTAGTAAAATATATATATATCGAAGCAGCATTAATTTTCTCTATTATTTTCCATTATTTTATCATGAATTATACAGTGGGCGTTATATGGGAAGTGTTGGTTCAAATGAAAGTCGATGCAATCACAGTTGTATTTCAAATTAACAATAATCACTATGTACATAGTTAAACAGCACTTCACTACACAACCATATACCACTTCACTATTACCACGTATAGACAATACGGAACGCAAGACAGTTCCTAGTGGAGCGGTCCTAAGCTTGGCTCGGCTCGAAGGCAAGTGTCAGCCCTCTTAGCACCCCTCCCTTAGCTAGGCTCCGTCGTAGGACGAAGCTCGCCGAGTGTTGGCGATAACACCGAAGGTGCTGCCATCACTCAGGCGTCGTGCCGCGCTTCGTTTAGCGACCGTATTGATGACCGTCTCCGACACGGCCATCCTGCGTGCACACGCCCTCGTGTGTTAGCCGTGTGTTAGCCTGCAACCAAATAATCAACGAAAATACTTGCTCGACTCGGTCAATCCTGACTAGATAAAACTTAACTTTGAATCTGAATCATTTTTATTCTAACGAAAAGCTTTAACGCTAACACCTTTGTTAATTTTTTTTTAACTCCAAGTCACTATTTATCTCTAATGTAACTAATAACGTCTAATCTAACTAATAACATCCAGAGCCATGTACCAACATCATTCAACACTTTAGCAATCAAAACTAATTTTCAAATTTACTAGCACCTCTGTAAACCACTCTTAGGCGGCTTTACAAGCCAACCAGCAATCACAATTGCTCCACAATCCAGGTGCATCCACTACGGGATCACCGTGTGTATCATCCTCTCGATGACTACACACTATGGTCATAACAGACCCCGACCTCCGCCAGAACTAAACGCACATCACACACCCACGGTCTATATAGTTTGAGCTTCCTCAAAAGACCGACTTTTACCAGGCTATGACTACGTAATAGTTACTAGTACGGTCGACACTACTTCGGCCGTCAGAATGCTTACATCGGTTTCCATCGATTTCATTAAAACATTTGCTTGGCATGATGATCATTATTTACATCAACCTCTATTGGTACATGACCTACTAGAATTTTTGTGTAAAGAATTTATAGCCGTCATGTTAATAGAAAACCTTTCAATATCTCATGTTCTATCATGATACCATTTTGTAACTAATAATTAGGCAAAACATAATATTTCAAAAGAATTCAAGAGAATGACCGTTAATCGTTACAAAACAAATTTTACTCTGTGCGGAATATTCCGTTTGGATCAATACTAGAAATTGCAAGGACAAAATCGTTAACCACACAATTTGACGGCTAACTGTTATCTTACTAACGAATATTCAGCACCATGATTATAACAAAAGCAATACAGATTACCTCTATGCCATTGAGCATTCGAAGATGGTTGTACAACACATACATCCACGCGTCGTTCCGTTCGTGTTGCACCCATATTGCTGCCGTCCACTTGACTGGCACTACTTATGCACCGGAGCGTGATGTGACCAGGCTTGCCACATTTGAAGCACACCAGAGACTTCACTGCAGGCTGCAATGCCGTTGCCGTCATCGAAGGTCGTTCCACGCTGTTATTTACCTTGCTTCTACACTCTGACCGCTTATGACTCACTTTTCTGCACTTATAACATTTTTACATTAGTTTAGCTCGTTTAGCATCAGGCACTTTTGAAAAATCATCAGATAAACTAGCTTTGCGTTTCAAATGTGAGAATTGATCTCGCGAAGCAATTTTCGTAGTAAAGCCAATCGTTGTAATTTCGAATTAAACTGACATAAGTGAGCAAGGACAGTCGCAATTGCTATCTGATTCTTGCTAGCGTCTTTCCAACGATTAGTCTGTGACGTCATCAGACGATTTGCGTACGTAATGAGTTTCTTTTTTCATTTGGTTTGTCACTGTTAAAATTAATTAGCGTACCAGCCAATGTCTCGGTGGAAATAAATCTCGCCTTGAAAATCACTTTGAACTCTTCCTATGTTATTCTCTGGTATACAAATTGTGACAGCCACGTCGACCCTTATCCTTTTAATTCCTTACCGACTGTTAAAATAAGTTAGCCGCCGTATGGAGGGTATTCGGCAAAACACAAATCTACAGTCGCAAATCAAGATCTTGCGTCCGTATCCATATTGTCAGGGTCAAACTCGCGTAACTTGATGTTCTTCTTCATCCGAGGCATTTGCATGGCCTCGATAAGAGATCACATAATGACATTTTGTTCTTCAAACATAGCACGTCATTGTTCACTCAGAGATAGTTCTTTTTTTGCAATTGAACCAACACTGATCCCGCTTCTGATATCGAAGCAGCATTAATTTTCTCTATTATTTTCCATTATTTTATCATGAATTATACAGTGGGCGTTATATGGGAAGTGTTGGTTCAAATGAAAGTCGATGCAATCACAGTTGTATTTCAAATTAACAATAATCACTATGTACATAGTTAAACAGCACTTCACTACACAATCATATACCACTTCACTATTACCACGTATAGACAATACGGAACGCAAGACAGTTCCTAGTGGAGCGGTCCTAAGCTTGGCTCGGCTCGAAGGCAAGTGTCAGCCCTCTTAGCACCCCTCCCTTAGCTAGGCTCCGTCGTAGGACGAAGCTCGCCGAGTGTTGGCGATAACACCGAAGGTGCTGCCATCACTCAGGCGTCGTGCCGCGCTTCGTTTAGCGACCGTATTGATGACCGTCTCCGACATATAGTATCATCGTGATTTTGTTCTAACCAGGTTTTGTATTTTTTCTCAGAAATGAGATATTTTTCTGCGGTAAAAAGTATCCTATATGTTGACCCGGATAACCAACGATGACCATACTAAATTTCATCAAAATCCCTCCAGTAGTTTTGCTGTGATGCGGTAACAGACAGACAGACAGAAAGTCAGACAGATAGACAAAAATTCTAAAAACTATAGATTCGGACTCTGTATCGATAATAATGTCTATTTCAATAATATTTTCTAACAAATATTTAATGTACAAATTCGGCTTAGTTAGAATTTTATTATATGTATAGATATATATATATATTTAAATGTAAAATCTCGGAAACGGATTTAACGATTTGGGTCAAATTTTGTATTTAAACAAGGTTTTGCTTTTTAAGTTTATCTCTATAGGTGTCAAATTTCTGAAAAAATATCTAAAATAAATCATTTTTGCTAAAACCAAATTTTTATATCTTTTCCGAAAAAACACGATTATAAAAAAATCGAGTAAAGCTCGGTCGCCCAGATACTTTTAATGAATTAATGCTAAGCTAACTATATACAATCTATAATTAAAATTGTATTTATTTGAATGACTACACTTTGTTTGTAATTGTTTTTGTATAAAACTAGTTATATTTATCGTTGTTTTCTCTCTATTTATTTGTTTGTAATCGGTTTGACATTTGCAGCAGATCTCGTTGCATCACTCGTACCAAATGTAACCAAAGTTGGCAAAGTTAACAATGGCGTAGATACCATACACAGGAGGAAGGGTAAAAACCATCGATCTACATCGTCTTCTGACGGAGCAAGTACGTGTTCGATTTTTTTAATTCATATACATATATGTATTTTTACAGTAACGCTATTGTTTTTGTAAAAAATTCTTAGATTTCCGCGAATATTTCATTTTTAAATAAAACTATCTTTTCGGTTTTTTTCGCGGATTCCAATTTAAAATAATTTTTGGTTCCCGTCGGTTCGTTTCCTATCGTTTTTGCTTTAATGTCTTGCATGTCTACGTCAGTAACCTTTTCTAATGCACAAATATCTTAGGGTAAAAAAATTATGTGCTGAAATAAAAAGCAATCTTATTTATTTAATTTGACGACACGTTTGGCTGTTTGTAGTGACCCTACTTTCTGTGCCAGCGGTCGCGGGTTCGAGTCAAGCTGGGGGCATTCATTTGTGTGATGACCACGAATGTCTGTACTCCAGTCATGGGTGTTTAATTTTATAATATGCATGTATTTAAAGTTACATATGTGTAGTGTATCAACTGTCTGGTATCCATAACTCAAGCTTAGCATGGAACTTGATGGTGTGTCATCAATCATCAATTACGTCAATAAATATGTCCCAACATATTTATTTATTTTGCCCAAGAATATTAAAAGAACAGAATAAATACTATCTCATACGCATTAAGCAACTACTAGAAAATAAAATATCACAGCAAGTCCTAGATATGTACACTCTAAACTCAAAGTTATCGTCGTCATGAGACGAAGAATTGCCAATTTTTATAAGTAATGAATTGATGTTTTAGTTCGAGGCAGCATTTCTGATGAAGGAGATAAAGAAAGCTTGGAGCTATCAAGTCATGACCAAACAGCTTTATCATCAGAGGAGAAATATAAACCTAAGTCGACTGAGGAAAGAAAGGGATGGTGAGATAAAACTGACTGACTAATCACCGACCTACCCTCGATTCGCTTGGACACTAACATCAACCGTACTCTCCTTTAGTATTTTGCAACATCAGTATTAGCATGATATATTTTTATACTAGCGTCCCACCCCTCGGGTTCGTCTCTAGCAACGTTTTAACAGTTAGTACAAATTTATCAGAGATGAGATATTTTCCCGCAGTAAAAAGTATCCTATATGTTGGCCCGAATACCCAGCTATCATCATACCAAATTTCATCAAAATCTATCCAGTGGTTTTCTTGTGATGCGTCCCCAGACAGACAGACAGATAGGCAGACAGACAAAAATTCTAAAAACTATAGATTCTGCCTCTGTATCGATAATAATTACTATTTCAATATGATTTTCCAAAAAATATTAATTGTACAGGTTCGACTCAGAATTTAATTATATGTATAGATTATGATTTAAATTATTAATAACGATTCAAACAAAAAATCTAGATATCACTAAAATAACTAAACTTCACCTAGAACGCTGTTGATGAGGTGTATAACAAAATTACTTTGTTCATTCTGTATAGATAATTTAAGGAGACTTGTCTTATTTCCCTACTCTTTTCAAAAGTACTAAGAAGAGAGAGAGACTACTACTAGATATTTAATTTATTGAACATGTGATCTATTTATAAAATTACAAATCTTCCTGCAAATAAAGGCTAACACTTAAATAAACCTTTACAACTAACGTCTAACAAAAACAATTTCGAATTTACCAATAAACGTTGATACATAAATTCTAGGTTGCTACTCGCAATTCTTGATTTGCCCTAGGGTGAATTCTTATAGTAACACCACAGATTTTATAATACTAATTAATTTCGTTTGAATGTGTGTCTTAAGGCAAAAATGGCGTCGCAAATGTACGCCCTGTCCAGATGACATGGTAAAGAAGTGGCGTGATCCTAGTATTGAGTGGATCTGTGGAGGGTACCAGCGGGCTCGAAGAACGTTTAAGAGTCTTTGCATGATGCATTATAGAAACTGCCAAGATGGAACTAGTTAAGTAAATTAAAGTATTTTTTTAAATATAAATACAAGTGACCGCTTCGTTTAGGTGCTTCCCTAGGTGTTCTCTCTCTCCCTATGTTATTCCAGGTTATAGTAAATTTATTATAATCTAAATCTGTCCAGCCATTCAAGCGTACACACAAACATATGATCGTCCGCATGCACGTACACACTTAATAAAAGGCATTAAAGTAAAAAGCTTTAGACCTTAACGTAAAAATTCATATTGATTCGTTACCCATTATGGATAAGTTAACATTTAAAATTTTACATTTGTAGTATTTTATATGGATCTATGTATGTGTAGTAGTATATTCATTAAATTTAACTTTTCTAAACATAATTGACTGTCAGGTTAAATTTTGTAGCCATTGATGTTCAAAAATCCTCAAAAAGACATGCACAATTCGAAATTAAAGTATACTTTTTTCAAGTCTCTTTTGTTCATTGCTTTTTGGATGACAAAATTAAAACGCACATTCTTTCGTTTAAAAAAGTACTTTATTTAGTGTGCGTAAGTTCGAATTTTTGTTTAGACAATTAGAACTTTGGATTTTTGAATTTTATTCCTTAGTTTGACTTAACATCACATGCCGATGGAACTTTTTGAAGAGATATTTGTTGGGAAATGTGTATGTATGTTTTATATTTCAATGCTCGTAGCAATAAAATCAACAAAATAAACCCAGATAAAAAGTTCTATGAACATTTTGAAATTTTCTTAGAAAGATAGAGATAATTGAAATCAGGAAATCTATGTTTGTATACAACATAGCTCTATGTAGTATGTAGATAATGAAGCACGACGACTGGAACCGCCACCGCAACATGGTAGCACTATGTTCCCTCCATATACCCCGCAAGGGAAAGAGCTAGCTTGCTATACTATATTTATACTAATTGATTAAATAAATAATATAATTTTTGTTACTCAAAATTAGAATACTGTATTTTACTGGAATTAGTAGATAATTATCTATAGGTCACTTCCTCTTTAGCAAACATCTTGCGTATCATGTCAAAAATTTTGCGCTTTTCCAGTATCCCCTAATGCTCCCTAATAAAATTAAAAATTTTAAATACTCCCAACGCAATAACCTATTCATTGAGGCCATTTAATTGAGCCTAAACACGATATTTCTGTAGTATTTTAGTAAAGAGTTCAGTGTCCTATAGATTCCAAGTGACGCTGCAGCATCCCTTCAGGGTTACCATATCATTGGAATGTCATTAAAGTGACGGGATACCAAGTTTTCAAACAGAACACTCTCGATCAAGTCGTTTTTCAAACAAAATAAACTAAATTAAAAAATCGGTTCATCCGTTAGGGTGCTATAATACCACAGACAGATACACACGTTAAACTTATTACTTCCATCTTTTTACGTCGGGGGTTAAAAAATTAAACATTATTGTATTATATTGACCAGAGATTTTAGTCGATTTAATATGATTGATATAGGTATACATATTAAATCAACTAAAAGCCTGGTCAATTCTCTCCAATATAAAAATTCTTTACATGATCAGACGGACCTTTGCCACTCTAAGGTCCTAGAAGAGACCTATAAACTGAATCAATACGTTCATGAGTTATCTCTTTCTCCTTTAAGGCAAGACTGAACAGGCATTATCTAGGTAAGCGCGCTCCAACCTAGACCTCATCAGTGCTTCCCAGCGCTGATTTTAGCCAAGCGCAAGCCTATTGCACAAATAAAACAAATAAAAAACAACTTGCTAGGTTCCCTCAGACATGCAGGTTTCCTCACGTTATTTTCCTTCACCGTTAAGACAAGTGGTAATCATGTTGAAGATTATTCGTACATGAAAATATCAGAGGTGCGAGACCCAGGAATTGAACCCGTTTTACTCGGTTTCCCAAGCCAAGGTTGGCCAAGTTTAAATGATTAAGCGCGGCTTCCTACAGACCTCCACCCCTCCCCCTCCACCCCTCCCCCTCCACCGGACACGCACTTTCTTTTGCTAATGCTGCACTATTACCGTTGAGAAGGTGCAATAAAAATATTTTTATTTTGGTTAAATTTAAGATATATTATTTTTTTCTTACAGATGTTGTTATGTTGTAAATAGTGTATTCTCAAAAGGTTTTCAGTAAATTAAAAATGACCCTGTACATTTATTTTTAGTGTTCGTTAAGTTACATGACCACAAATGCGTAAACGACACTCGACGAGACCAACCCCATGGGATCCATTTCTTCTACGACTACAAAGTGAAGATAAGTGGCGATACAACTGATAACTCGGACAGTAAAAGCTCTGTGCAAGAATCAAGCTCTGATTAGTAACTATCCAAATAAAAGCACATATTTAAAAATATAAGTTTTGTTATTTCCATCGATGGCAGAAAGCTTTACAACTTTGAGTTTAAATAGTGAGTACTAATTGTAATATTAATAGTCTATAATTGTTTAATATAAAATATTATTGTATTTTATGTATTTAGGGAACGATGGGATTGACATTGTCGCCTTCAGCTTAAGTCCCTAAATAAAAGCAGATAATAAAAGATTTATTATTTGAAATATTGACTGCCACATCAAAACTTATTTAGCACTAGCGACTCACCCTCGTTCCGCTCGAGTTCATCCCTACTTACTTTTTAACGTTTAGTTTAGATTTCTTAGAGGTGAGATATTTTCCCGTAATATAAAGTATCCTATATGTTACTCCGGATAACCAGCTATCATTATACTAAATTTCATCAAAATCCCTTCAGTGGTTTTTCCGTGATGCGGTCACAGACAAACAGACAGACAAAAATTCTAAACACTATAGATTCGGCCTCTGTATCATTAATAATGTCTATTTCAATAAGATTTTCCATAAAAATAAAAAATGTATGATTTGGCTTAGTTACTATTTTATTATGTTAGCATATAATAAAGACGTTGGAAGATATTTTTTTTCCTAGGCTTTTCAGGTATTATTTATATACCTATATATACATAACCATGGTCTAATAGAAATAATTTAAACCATTTTTTTCCAGTAAATTCGGGAAATCGGTACTTTAAAATAATATATATATATTAATTGCTATTCAATAAAAACCTATAATTAAATTGTACATCAAAGGTACATAATATCATTGTGATAATCGTTTTTATCTCGTAAATCCATTACACGTCACAACTACATTAATCGTCTGATATGAACAATTTGTCATCGAGACGGACAGACAGACAGTCTACAATGAAACGTTAAGTGCAAAATGCTGGCCAAAATAATAGTGCGTTTCCGAAAAACCTATTATTAAGAGAACAAAGAGCCTTTTCCTTTGTCAGAATGGTTTAAGTAAATTTGTATAGTGTGAAAGAGGGTAGGGTTATATGTGCGGTGGCTATGTATCTTATCTGTCTGCAATAAGGGTGATTTTTGGTTGATTGTAATAAAATGAGTGCTTTCACGCAAATACTCTGGTAATGGACTGGTTGAAAGAGTTTACGGTTTCTGAGATGGTTTGTTTTGCACATTGTTTCTCGACAAATAATTGTAATATTAATATCTTGAAATATATTTTATTTAAGGTAAATACTTATATTATATTTAAATTCGCCATTGAAGATTAGTTTTTACTTATAAAGTATTAAAATTTATTATTTAAGAGAATAATTATCCATCGATTCGATAGCTTTTGGATAAACTTTAAATTACTTTCGCGTAAGTGAGAAAGTTAGGAAAATTATAACAATAGGAAGGAAAGAACAAAACTACTTAAGATTGAATTATGGTAATCTATTGAATAGGGAAATTTGGTTGTTAGCGTAAATATCTTAAACGTAAATACATCTATTCAAGACTTCGGTAAATTTTTCTCCTCTTATTATAAATGTGAAAGTTCGAATGTAAGTTTGTTACATCAACAGTTTAGTTATACGGCTCAATGGATTTAACTCATTAGCACAAACACTATTGTTGTTTAATTAGTAGAAGCAAAACCATAGGAAAAAAGCGTTTGAAAAATCTAAAATTAGTAAAGAAAAGGTATGAACAAAATTATTTTCTCGTTTTCTACATCCAATAGTAAATGACCTACATTTGGTGCAGTTGTTCCTATGAAGTTTAAAATTGGAATATTTCAACAGACCGTTCATTGGTTTAATAGAAGGCATGAACATGCTCGTATATGACTAAATTCCTTGTAGGCTGAAACCCAAATACTCAAAATAGCAGCACCATCTAGCAATATATTCTTATATTTTTTTCAAATTTTAAAGCGCCAATTGAAGACATTGAAAAGAACTGTCGCTGTAGTTATTTATTATTTTTATAAATTGCCACAAAAGTAAAATATTTAGACTTTATGCTTCAAAATTATTTTTTTAGGAAAAACTTAATCTATACTATACACTTTCATAACATTAATGAATATTGTTATGTATGAAAATAATACAGCATAGAAAAAACGCATTTTCTTTTTTTTTATTTTTATTTTATTTATTTATTCTTCAAAAACTAATTATATAGATTATAGAGTCTTTCACATTTTATTTATATAATATCTAGTTTTTCGGATTTTCTGTTTGTTTTCCATTTGTAATAACTATAACATTTTTGACGGCAAAATCTTAGTCTCACCCGTGACCATGTTTACTATTAAGAATTCCAAACGCTGCGTCGGGAACAAAAATTACATAAAACCAAGAAAATGTAGAGAAAATATTTGTATTTGTAAGTTTGATTTAAAATATAAAAATTATTTCGATTCTTTGCTACGTGAAAAAAGTAACAGCGAGATTTTCAGATGCTTTCCAGAATACTTTCTCAAATATTCAAACCTGAATTCTCATATGAGAAAAAAATAGGTCGTTATTTATTTTTTAATATAAACCAGCAATCTTATCAGGCACATGGCTCATTTGTGTGTCGCGACATTTATGAAAAATACCACCCATTACTCTCGAGCATGTATGGAATTTATCAAACAAGAGATGAAAATGCAAAGAACAGAAATAAGAGTGCTGTTAAC